TTAATATATTCATATTCCCTATACATCTTCCAAATCGGTTAATATATATTTTTTTAACGCGGTACAAGTATAGCTAATTGCTACGCATGTTTTCCTAGATAAGCAGAGCTCATCTTCTATCATCTTGATAAACTTCGTTTACCATTCTCGTGTCAGTTTTCCTACATGCTTATCTACCCTGTGTCGCTTTTTAAGTACATTGGACAAATAAAATATAAATAAATTAAGCTGTAATTAATTTTTTACATTACAAATACATTTACTCACCCTCGTCATAGTCCTTTGGGGTAGGCAGCGACTAATTTACCCGTTTGTTCACGATCTTGGCAAACCTATTTTGCTTCCTTACGTTCATCAAACCTTTTGCCAGATCTGGTATAATCACTTTGTACTCCAGCCAGTGTTGCTTTCCACGTTGACTTTGTATATCTTGTCCACCATTTCAGTTTAATTCACCCTCTTCATGTACCCCAATGATTTCAACATACCTTTCACACACAGTACCCGCCGGTCACACAACTGTACATTTCATAAATTTCACAATCTTCTAGGTGGTAGAGCTTGGCTCTCGACTGTGCATCGTGCTGCCGCAGCTGCCTCCTCTGCAAGCCTACCATCAACAAGTTAGGTTCCTGGAGGAGGTACGGATGTACAAGGAGGACTGCTCAACGCTCACGCCGGAGGTCATCGATCGTTTGCTGCAGGAGGCCGCCACAGTCGTCCCGCACCACAAAATCGAGTTGGAACGATCATTGCTTTATAAATTGAAAGGTAACAGTGTCCATCAGGAAATAATTGCGTCGTGTTTACGTTGTGCCCGTCGTTATTTCAATAAGCTGATGGTGAAATTTAGGAAATAACTTCTTAAAGGCCTTCCAACATAAATACTATCAGTTACTATTTAAGATGACGGAATGGTACTGAACCGAGGATGGTACGCGTTGTCTACATATATTTGTTCATTGTAGTTGTGTATAGCTCTAAATTACAGTTTCGGTAAACACAGTTAATTTTAAATGAACCCGTGAAACATTCTTTTCGCGGAATGGTAGTTTAAAATATTGGACAAAATAGCGACGGACCCTTTGTAAGTAAGCATCGGTCGTATATGAAAAATGTATCGTGCAGCACAAGTAGAGGACTGGGAAAGCCGAGCGAAAGCAGTCCTAGTGGAAAGTTCGAAGCCGCCGCGCGATCCGCGCGATGAGACCGAGCCTCAGTACACAACACTGGCCGAGCTGGACGCGCTGCTGGCCGAGGGCGACGAAATCGACGCGGCACTGCCCTCCTACCACGCTTTGCAGACCGCCGTCAGCCACGCCAAGGACTGGCTGACCAAGGTGGGACGTCACTTGTTAATAACCGTGCTTGTTGAGATTTACATTAATACGAGGAATAAATCGCTGTTCTTGAGAGCCGCCTTCACAAAATCATATATTCATTAAAGGGGCTATGCTACTATAGTAAGATTCTTGTTGGTGTTCAAAATTTGGTGGGAGGATTAAAACTATTGATAAGTGAAACAAAAACTTTATCGTTTATTATACTGTATTTATTATACTTCGGAAGAAAGAAAGGTACATACAAGCAGTAAAGTCTGAATTCATAGATAAATGTGTTAAAATATTTTTTAGGAAATGAAACTATTTTTCCGGATATAAATCGCGTATATTTGTTTTTTCAAACAAACCGACGTTTCAACCGTATCCATAGGAGTCAACCGTGACCATGGGACCTTTAAAAGGCCCGAAACGTCGGTTTGTTTGAAAAAACAAATTACGCGATTTAAATCCGGAAAAATAGTTTCATTTCCTATGTGTAACAATCGCGAAAACTTAAGAACTCGATATTTTTTAGGTTTTTCTGATAAAAACAATAGTTAAAATCTGCATTTGTGTTATAAATACAGACCACATGTTTCATACAGAAATTTTTATTATGTTTTAAGCAGCCGTTTTTAAAAATACCTTTTTCTTTACATTTTTCTCTTTTAACTAAGTGGAAGAAAAGAAATGTAACTGCATAACTAATTTAAATGTGTCTTAATACTTGATTCATGCATAGAACTATGAGTTGTTTTTTGTGTTATTATATTGTAATCGGACAACACATCTACATGTATGTATATATTAAGGGCACAATCCTGTACATTACTAAGTAAGATCCATACAGATATTTACTATAAAGTCAAATATGACTTTGTAGTAAAAAAGTGTGATTGTTGAAATCGGTTGTGTCCTTTGAGCTTGCTCTGTATTCAACAATATTATTGAGAAATATTTCCACAAAAAATAGTAGATGGCTTATATTTCCTCACTCCGAACATGTAATGTAACTTAAATATATAAAAAAAAAATTGTTTTTTTCGTTTCGAGGGCAGTGTAAGCTTCAATTTTTTTTATAAAGGCCTGTCCTTCGAGTTTCTTACTCACTTTTCTCTGGGGAATTAACGAATGACTTGTAGTTTTTAATCAATGTGACTATGTCAAGTGTAAGTTGCTTAATTGTGAAATGAAGTATAATTATTTGAATTTGAAATCGTAACGTGAGCGGTGTGCGGCAGGTGGAGGAGATGCAGTCGAAGGATCTGTACCCGTACATGCACAGCGTGGAGGCGGTGTGGCGCCGCGGCGCGCAGCTGCCGCTGGCGCTCTTCGAGAAGGACCAGCTGCACGCCGCGCTGCTCTCCGCCAAGGACTGGAAGCGCGGCGCCGCCGACATGTTTCTCAAGAAGGTCAGTGCCCGCCGTCTGTTTGCGGCGCCGTTCCGAGACGCGAAGGCAAACGGTGACGTCGACAATCCCGCAGAACTGGCCGTACTCCCTGCTGGAGGCGCTGTCGCCCCGCACGGAGGCGTCGGCGCCCCCGCGGCGCCGCGCGCGCGCCCCCGGCGGCGCCGACCCGCCGCCCTCGTCGCTGGAGGCCGGCCTGTTCCTGCGGAACTTCAGCGAGGACTCCACGCCCACCGAGATCGTGGCCGCGTTCAAGCAGGCCGAGCACCGGGAGCTGCAGGCCGTCAAGGAGCTGAGGTGAGCCTGGAGCTGGCCTGCGCGTCCGCCGCCGCGCCGGCGTCGCCTAACGCGAGGCTTGTGCAGGTCGCGCAACATGCGCAAGGAGGTGCGCGCGCCGGCCTCGGCCAACGTGTCCTTCTGCGTGTGCCAGAAGCGCCAGTACGGCGTCATGACGCAGTGCGAGCTCTGCAAGGACTGGTTCCATGGTGAGTCTGCCGGCCGGCTTATCTTTGCGATCGACTACTAATGAATAGATGAAACTTTTGTTCGACACAAACTTATTAGCAAATACTTTACAATCGAACACGTGTTAACATAGCACCGTTTCAAATCTAATAAAACGGTAATTGCAACAAATTTATTTATGCCAATTTTTACAAAGATTATCAAAATAGTAACTTCATCAATTTTATGTTCAGGACCCTGAGTCGACATAGATGTTAAAAACCTTGACAGTCTATAGCTTTGATATTCCGCCAGTACCGCTTGGTGAGCGATCGCACCTACACAACCGTGATACCAAAGTGCATCATATGCAAATATCCAAAAAAATATCTGGAGCTTCAGGTATCACACCTTGAAGTTATATAAATGATTACAGCTGGCAAAACATGATCGTTAAGATGAAAGATATTATTTGTATTCGCGATTAAAAAGTATTATGTGATTAACGTAGCGCATTGGAAGGGGAATGCCGTTCCAGTATTTGCAGGTGCGATACCTGAAGCCGCCGCGAAATGCAGTTGTTCCATGTCTTGAGACGTTAATCATATAGTTTGATACTAATCTGGATTTATTTCCTCTAACAGGTCGTGACCTAATGATTTTCTGATATAGATAATTCGGCTGCTTGGTTTTAGTTACGTTAAACATTAGGCAGGCCAAATGTAACATCTGACAGGCCTCCATCTTCAGTATGCCAATTTTATTTGGATAAGATTTGATGCGGTTATAAGGAGGCACAAGAATTTTGGATTTGCTGGATCAGTCTCTGTAACGATAAGAATGTGTGAAGTCTAGTATATGGTTTTCAGAAACAAACCAAGATTTTTTTGTCACACAGGGTCGTATTCTAAAACTCTACTCAATGCTCAAGTTAGGGTTTGAGTATGGTTTAAAGCACTCGAAATCATACTCAAGTCCCTGCCATTAGGGTCGTATTTCCAGTGCTTGTGTTTCCAGTGCAATCCTGACTTGAGTATTGAGTAGAGTTCTAGAATACGACACACAGACTCTTTTCTATGGCAATATCTCCCGCAATAGTTCGTTTCAATCCAGAAAAAATACAGATAAAATAAATAAGCAGGTCACTGACACGACCATAGACAGTTTAGTGATAGGTATCTGTAGTGCTAACTACAAATTAATTGAATGAATCTATTCGTTTATATGAATGTTTTTTTTAGTCAATTGGATTAACGGTCCCTTTTTCGATTTCGAGTGAAAATTTTTTCATACATAGGATTAGTACATGATGTACTTATACGAGTACTACTAGTGTTTTTCCTTACATGACCTATAAAAGTAAATTAAAAAATTTCGAAATCTTAATTGAACTCGATATATGTAAGGAATATTTAAATATTCGTTTTAAACTTTGATTGAATTAACTAAACGCTGATTCTACATTTGAAAAATGATCTCACTTTCCCTACCTCCTACTTACTACCTACCTACTTTTAAGTGCGTATTGACGAAGCCCAGTGCTGATCTTTCATTAACTAGAAATATTAATGTAGCATTTCTATTAAGATAATAAAGTCTGATTTCAATTTCACTTTTGGATTAAAATTTTTCAAATACGATTTTAAGTTCTTATTCAAGTGAATATTGTTGGAAAAAGTGATGATATGAAGGAGAAATTTTCAAAATATTCGTGAAAGGTTCCTTATTTCATTTATTGACTGAGTTTTTGTCTTTTGCACCCGCTTATGTGAACCAACAATCAAATATTTTGATTTCGTTACATTTAGAAGTAGGTCGTTAGGAAAATACGACTCGGGTTATCATATTAGCCACGCAAGTTAATAACGTTATTTAAAAATTATGGACCTGCAAGACGTCGGCATGTAAATGAAACCGGCAATTCAAAATTCCGTTATTTCATTGCTATATAAAATTAAAAGTTAGGATCCAAAGATAGAGCCCTGTGGGACACCCGTTTGGATAATTTATTGGCCTGATTCGATGTTGGCACCGGTCGGTATTCCGTAAGTAATAATAGTAAGTTTCGTACCGCAAATGAACAAATTGCCTATAAAAATCGACCCTTTCAATATCACTTGGGCGTGCTTGTAATTTTAAACTTGATAATTGTTATTTTTTAAAGTAAATATTAATTATAGCAGACAGTCGAGCTAGCGCGGAAATGTTGTGATGAATGAAAACGTTACACTGACCTAGTGACTCAATGTGACATTTCAATGAGTGAAATATAAAATGTCGACGTCTGTCCACCCCAGCGGCGTGTATAGCCTTGGCCAAAGAGGAGAAGGAGTCGTCGCCGGAGAGGGAGCGCGCGGCCGAGTCGCCGTTCGGCGCCGCCGAGCCCAAGTTCCTCTGCCCTGACTGCGTGCGCACCAAGCGGCCGCGTCTCGACCGCATCCTCGCTCTCCTGGTAACCACCGCCGCTGCCCGCTGTGGTATTCGAGGAGTGGTGGTGTGGCTACTGACACGTCGTGTTTCCTAGGTGTGGCTGCAGAAGCTGCCGGTGCGGCTGGCCGAGGGCGAGGCGCTGCAGTGCGTCACGGAGCGCGCGATGGCGTGGCAGGACGCCGCGAGGGCCGCGCTCGCCAGCCCGCTGCTGGCCACGCTGCCCACGCCGCACGACCACGAGAGATCGCTGGTAAAGTCTCGACGAAACTTGAACTACGTTTACCTTATTTATGTTCCATACAGCGGGGTCCGCGTGTCGGTTTGTTTTGCGCGCGTACCGAGAAAGGTTCGGTTTGAAACTTCCCGGCTACCTTAAGGCGAAACTAGGGCGTTAGTAGCGCCGGCTCGGAAAGTCGCCCCTTCGCCACCGTCCGACGGTCCGGTCCGCAGGCGAGCCGCGAGAAGGCCGACAAGCTGAACGCCGAGCTGAAGAAGGCCACGGGGCGCGCGCACGAGGCGGCGGCGGCGGCGCGCTGCCGCGCGTCGGCCAGCGTGGAGCACGCCTACAGCGCGTCGCCGCGCTCGCCCGGGCCCGGCTGCGGCGCGCGCGTGGCGCCCGGCCTGCTGCACAAGCTGGAGGAGCTCATGCTGGAGGGCGACCTGCTGGAGGTGCGGCTGGAGGAGCAGGCGCAGCTGTGGGGCGCCGTGCTGGCGGCGCGCGGCGCCGAGGGCCGGCGCTGCTCGCGCGTGCTGGACGCCGGCCGCCGCAAGCGCGCGCAGCGCCAGCCGCGCCCGCACCGCCAGCTCAAGCGCACGCGCCCGCCGCTGGGCGCCGCCAAGGCCAAGCGCCAGGCCGCCACCACCACCAACTACCTCAACCGGAAACAGGTACCCGGCGGCCGGGCGGCCCCCGCGCCCCCCGCGCCCCCCGCCCCGCTCGCGGCTCACTGCCGATTGTTGCAGGGCGTGTCGTCGGGGTCGGGCCTGATGATGCGCAAGCACTACATGGCGCGCCAGGAGCGCCGGAAGCGCGGCCTCGCCCCCGCCGCCCGGGGCAAGCACCCCCGGCAGGCCCGGATGAGTGAGTGTCTTGGGCGACCGCCCGAAAGATTAACATTCTACGGCTAAAAGTTCCAACATGCACCGGTCCGTTGCCGCATGGAAGATCACCCGTGGCGATTCGATTGCAGACTTTCCGGGGTTCCTCTTTAAAATTCAGATCCTAGTCCTGCGCTGGCTCGATGCACGTTAGGGCCTTCACGGTTTCCGAGGATTGTGAACCTTTTCCGACGTGCAAGTTTCACTTAAAAAAAAGTCATTGGTGGGCGTGTGCAAAAGGCGTGTGCCTTAAAAGGTGTTCGAAATCTCGACCTCCGAATTGAAATACCCCGTTATTGTTACGCATTTCATTGCGGTGTGGCCCACCACTATCCATAGTAATTGTGTATTTCATACACTAGCTGCGCAAAACCGCGCTACGACGTCGACGGCCGCGAACGGGCGACGAGGGAACAGCGCCGCGGGGCAGAGCTCATCGTCGTCAGCGTCCTCGGCGGAGGACGAGGAAGACTGCGCCGCCAACAACTGCCTTCGGCCCACAGGTACCTCTCGTCACACTAATGTATACTACATAGACGAATATTGGATAAGACTTCCCATACGCGTGTTAAATACATAAATATAATTTCCACAAATTGTAAAACCGTCCTCTGGAAATCGAATTCACCTAGTTATGAGGTATATCTGACAATTTTTGAATAATTAGAACATTTTGAAACCTTTCAATGTTAACAAATAGTAGTAAGCAGTAAAAAGTCTGTTGAATTATTACTTAATAATCGCTCCCCTTCATGCTCTAAATAAATGGCGAATAATTAGAATAACAACACTTTTTTAAACAAGAATATGTTTTTATCTTTTATTCATACCACATTGCAGTGCGAAATGCGTCTGCTGGCTACTACTTATTATTGTCATCGTATTTGAACCTAATGTTAAATTCTAATTAATGACACATTGATGGCTTTCTAGAACAGTGGCCTCTTCCAAAATCACCTAATTTATAAACAACCTAAATGCATGACGCGCAAAGCCGACGAATTGTGTACTTGTTTAATGTTGTAAGGTGAATAGAATGCTCGGCGCCTTATTCACTTTCAAATATAACACTTTCTGAAGCAGCTGTGTATTAAAAATAATAATAATAAATAAATAAATAAATAACGCACACACTCAACATAACCCCGCACTAGGGAAACCCTGTGTCGCGGGTGCCATGGACACACACATAGACAACCACAAATTACACCCAAAGTCACGAGAGAAATAAATGTAAGCCATACAAACATTTCTCCCGGCCCGGGAATCGAACCTGGGACCTCTGCGTCCCAGTCCGGCATGGTAACCGTTCGGCCACGGAGGCAGTTAAAAAATTCTACATTGGTTTGGTCCTCTATTCTTGCAAAATAGCAAGAGAAATAAAAAATCATGTACATGTCACGTCCACCTGATAACGTTCGCTTTGAGTGAACGATAAGAGGAAAAATATAACTTGTGGTATATGGTGGTACTTTCCTTCAGGCAAGGAAGTGGACTGGGTACAGTGCGACGGCGGTTGCGACCAGTGGTTCCACATGCACTGCGTGGGTTTGGCCCGCGGAGCCCTTCGCGACGACGACGAGTACGTGTGTGGCGCCTGCGCAGCGCGGCGGAAGACCAAGGAGGCCGCCACTAGCGCCGATAAGTAGATCGCAGCGGTCAGTCGGTGCCACTAAATTGTGATACGCATGAGATTGTCTTTGGTGATAAAAAGGTGAACGATGAACTCTAACGGAGTTTTGTGTTGTCTATGGGCTATGTAAAGATGAACTAAAGTTATTTGTGGATTGCAGTGGATGTGCGACGAGGAACGTTTTAAAAAAGGTAAATTAAAAGGTGAATTACAAATAAATTCTTATATCTATTTACATCATTTGTAAAATATAATGTAAATGTAAATATGGACTTCCAAGGGAGAACATTATCACGAGATATATCTTAGGGAAAAAGAAATTTGTAAAACATTTTTGGATTGTTTGTGACGAATGACGAAAATGCAAAATATTATTTTGTTTAAAATGTATTAAGTCATCATCAAATAACATGAGTAGTTTTGCTAAAGAGAACTACTATTTGCGACGAAATATATCTGTGACAATGTGTTTTTTAAGTGTTTGGAAACAATCGCACATGAAAATAAAATGTACTTGCCCATATAAAGGTCTTGTGACGGAACTATTTTGTATGGGAAAGTAATGTTACATTTTTACACCGATAATGAAGCTCCTTTTCTTGAATACATAAAAAAATTGGTATACAAAAATATATTTTTAAATATGAAAAAGGTATTATGGACTCTATACTAATATATGGAAATATAAGCGTGTTTCCAATGGTAACCGACGTTAATAAAATACGTTACTGAACATAAGTGTTCTAAACACTTAAAAATCATCTGTTCATAAATATAAAAAACTGGATATGACAAAAATGTTTTGACGAATATTGCCTAGTCAGACTTGAACTTCGTTCCGTGTCCTTACGACTGCTTCGAATAAATAACGGAATGAATAACGTAAAGCAAATTATATTTTTTGCAATGTTCGCAATGATTGCAACAGCCTGCGGCACAATTCTCTAACTTACTATATGAATTGAGACGCTAGATCTTAATATGGTGCAACGACGTGTACGATTACCCGGGTTTAACTCATTTAATAAGCAAAAACTGCAAATTTAGGGAGGTGATGACTAAATTATTTTTATGATGATTTAGTCATTATTCGTTTCTTTTCAAAGAAATACGTATCTGGTATTAAAAAGACAATTGAATTTCCAATTGTCATTCTATAGACAAGAAATTGACGATTACAGTGATTACAAAGTTAGAGAATTGGTCGTCCGCTCTGGCTAAAACGGGACTGTTCAAGGGGAAGCGAATTCTCAATCAGCGATGACACAAATAATCACAAAGTTTTCAAAAATTTCGCTTCACAAAACCAAGTGACCATCGCAAGATGATCGCGAGTCACACATAAGGCATCCAAACGTGGTACATGGATATATTCCCCAAAGTGATAGGAATGCTTTCCTGGCCTTAGTCACGGCGGTTTTAAGAGACCTAGTTGATACAGGATTCGGAGCATAGAAAGAGAAGATAAAATTGGACTTGGACGAGAAGGCGTACGTATGACAGCACACTTGAAAACCTCAAGAAGTGCACTGGCAAGAGCAAAGTAAGGCATGCATCCTAGTTAACTCAAAACGTAGCTAACGAGCGTGTCGTTTTCATTCATATCTCGCAACTCGCTTAGATTTCACTTCAATTTGAACAGTCTCCTGATAGCTAAACAGACGAACCTCTAGGATCCGACACCGGCTCACCGCACGCCTAATGTTTTTGGAATTTGTCACACCGGACTTAATTAGTGTAAGGTTGAATTGATGTTATTGATGTTGTGACCCTACATCCCCTTTCGAATGTCGAGTAGTTTTAACATTTGTCTCTGCCACGTTTGCTGCGTGCCTCAAGAACCGAAATTACTTTTTTGTTTTATGTAACGCAACACAGATTATTATCAAATGTTTTTGGGGCTTAGACTGCCAGAGACCTAGCCTACTGTTATGGAAACAACAACATATACAATTTTCTTGAATACGTAACAATGCTTCAGACTTGACACAAAGACAGGGAGCTAAAATTCTTGATCACTAAATATCTCGACTCGCGTCGGCTGCGTCGATGCTGCAGCGGAATGTTTATGCATGTTTTTATAAACTACGCCACAACGCAAACAAGGCCTCATTAGTTGAACTTAACACAGCTAATTGAAGATTCCCTGGCGTTCTCTTATTACATTGAAATATATTTATTTATTAATGCAGATACAACTTATATACAACGTGGTACACATGGTAGGGGCAAGTGTAAACCTACTTGATAACCCCAAAGTGTCTGAAGTCAGCCTTTTTCTAAGTATTCTCAGGTTCGAGTATGTCGTGTAAGGAAAACTGATATTTGGTTATGACATTTGAAAGAGTAGAAAAATATTTTTTAGGTTATTTATTCGTGATTTTGTAATGGTCATGAATAAGTGTTCAGTAGACAAATTAATTAAAGACTATTTACATTTTCGTAAAAATAGGTTATTTTGTTTAAATCTGGCAATAAGTTATTAAAAATAAAATTTTACGTTTTAGACAAAAAGAACTTAAATATTTATACCACGGATATTGTAAAAATGAAATTGATGCTGATTTTTGATGCGTCACTTATTACGCATCAGATTTACAGAAACGTCAGCTTATGATAAAGGTATAGATGACAATATAGACTTAAACGAGCTTCAGTTTTCGTTACGCGATGTATTGTTTAAGAATTACATGAATGACAATGCGAGTTAAAAAACTTGACAAATAAACGTTTGTGTGTGAGTTTATATCTTAATTACTTTGTTTGACTTAGCGACCCAAAGAAGAAGTTACTTTAGTTTCACACTTTCGAGGAGTTGTGTTTCGCATATGAAATTATCGCGTATCAAAGCATGGCGTATCATTTCGTGCTGTGTCGTCTAAACTAACGATAACGGATAACACACTGCTGAATGAAATTACAGAAATGCGAACCCCGGTTTATGTATGTCTTATTAGGCTATAGTAAAAAGGAATAAACGCTACTACCCAATTGTTCTAATTTTTCGTGTTCTATTAAGTATTTAATTTACTTAAAAAAATATCTCGCTTTGCAATGTGCGAGTGAAAAGAATTAGGTCAATTTTCGAATGAAAAGTCAAGATCTCTATGGATATAACTCGCATGCAGACTGTTTATATTAAAAAGTTTAAAGAATAGACAAAGATAAAGCAGGAGTTCGAAAAGATTTTTGTACATATTTTTTTAAAGAAATAATTAGATAATTTTTAAAAGGTAAATTGGGATTGCAAAATTGATAGGTTCGTAAGTAGGATTTTTGGGAGCGATCGCCTGGAAATGATGCTTGAGACTTTTGTTTTTGATGTTGAATTTTTAAATAAGAAAAGGGTATATGACCATGCCTTGTTAATTAGAAAGACTAATTTAGTCTAAAGCGAGTCACGGTTAGTTGAACATAATAAAAAAGAATGTGTTCACTCAGTGACTTATTCTCTTAAAAATAGTTACTAAAGTGACTTGCATTTTGTAAATAATTGTTTTTTTAAACACGTAATTTTACTTTTTTATTGTTTACTTATAAGTCAAATTTTTACCATAATTTTAACGTGTACTTTTGACAGCTTTTGCTCGGAAACTTGTATCATGGAATATGATTGAAGAATTGATAAAAGATGGATCTTTTAGACTGTGTTCTTCCCGTTTCTGTAATTGTTCGTGAATGTCAACAACATTATAACTCCTGTAAACAGTCTTAAATATAACACTTTATACAAACAAGAATTGAAAACTCTGACCGTTCAAAATTCGTACAATTGTCGATTTCGACAAACAGTTATAGTTTTGCCAGCCATATTTAGTGTTTTGTGTCAAATAATATCCAGGTTCAGCTGAGACAAACATCTAGCACTCTTTATTACAATGTAGAGTTAACCCATCTTGTATCAAAGTAAAATAAACTTATATTATTAATTTTAGTTGAATACACAAAATCGTTATATTGATGTTGACACATTCAAATAAGTAATGAAAAATGTTTCAAGCCCCGTGTTAATAGTAAATGTTGTAGTTCTATGTGCATGGCGTAACTTTGTTAGGTAAATAAGAGCTTATGTGATTGTGTACACGGAGGATGGGGGAAATCTGACGCATTGATATTTACTATCATTTCAACCTTTTAAATACATTTGGTTGAAGACTGTTTTTCGAGATAAATGAAGTTTGATCTAGTTTAGGTTATTAACACATCTAACCAATAACATTCAGGAGGTACGGCCTAAAAAGTAATATCTATATAGGCCCTTTGTTTGGGTCTCTGAAAGTCTAAGGTTGTAGTAGTAGGTACGCACGATGCTGAGTTGACGTAATCCACAATGTTCCTTGACGGATTGTTAGTGGAGCGAGTTGTCAACTGTCTTTTATGAGCACTTACACGTGCAATAAGTAGGTTGTTAAGTTAACATAAATGTTGTACGGTGCAAAAACTGTACAACCTTGGTTTCAGGGTTCAGTCTCTTATTACATGATCAGTTTCTTTTAAATTACGTAATTGCCAAAGGATACGGGCTCAAAATCTTGAAAACTGTACAACATTTGCTTTGATTTTAAAACAAGGAATTTCTTATCTTAAAAAGATGTTACGGATACAGATTTATCATATTTTTTAAATTAACATCAAGCGACGAAATACTTAACGCGGCCTCGAGATGTCTTCTTTCTATGGAATCGTCTCAGAAAATCAATTTATGCATGTTCATGATCCCTTTACTTAACATTTTTAAATAATCATTATGAATAGGGTAGGTAATGGGAATACTTAAAACATTATAAACTTGAATATTATTGATATATAATAGGCAACCAATCACTACAAGCATTACGTTTTATAATTTTACACAATGCGTCACATTTCTCTGTCCTTTACCACCTATTTTGTCCCCCACATCTGTTTCTGACACCAATCCTGTTTCTTGGAAGGTAAATGAAAAAGAACTTTACTTATATTAAGAAATGAATTACTTTTATTTTTACTGATTGCTTAAAATTCACGTTCAACATACATTCACTTATAACGTCATTACAGATGTGGCCCTTTGCTTTTGTGAATTATCATTGATGAAATATCAACGTTTTAACGGACCAAATGATATGGAGTTGTTTACAAGTACTGGGACTTCTGCGTGAATAAAGATTCTAGAAAATTCTGCACTCCAACTGTTACTTAGATCGAGGGTTTAAAAACATTACTTATTCACTGATGTTGAAGCATATTAAGCTTTTAAAAATTTTGTGTACTTTTGTTTTTGATGCTCTTTTTGGGTCGTGCTAGCCTTCCGCTTTTCCTACTATTAGGTTTCTGATGTAGATTTATATTGCTTTCCATCGCCGTGCTAAAAATAATTAAATGTATTTAAAGAAAGTACTCAATTTCACGCTGGGGTCCCACTACTTCAGATTTGATCATAAATTTACTGGGAATTATCGTAAAGTGTAAACTTGTCTATATACCAAACAATACTTTAGATAATACGTATTAAAAAACAAAACGAAATAATGAAAGGCATTTTGGAAAAAATATTACGTCATACGAAATTGCGCATTGCCTTAAAAGTTTTTTTTACTCGTATAGAAATATTTTCCCAAAAAATATCTATATATAGTTTTTTTAACTCGTATAGAAATATTTTCCCAAAAAATATCTAGTTAAAATGTTGATATAGCCTGACCATATAAGCAAGTGCGCGCCTTAGGCAAAGCGCGGGGAGAGAGGTAGTGACAGAGCTGAGATGAACACTGCTTCTGTCGCTGCGTTGTTACCTAAACCAAGCTCACTGTTTGCACGGTCACTGTCTTACTACAGTAGAAATCGGCAGTTGGCTTTCTACAAAAGTCAACATTTTCTTTGTAGCTTTATGACATTTGCAAGTTTTAAAAATGCGTATGATAAGTTCGGCCTTGAGGTCTGAAGCCATTTCTTTAGTCCATTTTTAAAGTTTGGATTGTTACTAGATTTTAGTCAATAATGCCGTTATTATGCCGACAATTGTTAATATTTTTTTTACTTAACACACGTATCGATAAGGTTTGTTGTTAATTTTAAGGCACCAGTAATTATGAAATTGTTTTTGTGGCTCAAAAACTTGATGACCAAATTGTATTTTCACTTGACATTAGTTGTATTGACTGAACAGTTAAGTATGATTGATTAATTAAACATTATTGTTAAATTAACATTTGTGCGTTTTGTTGTAGAAGGGACTAACGATGTTACAAAACAAGCAGTATTTTTTCTTCCAGACTAATATTTCTGTACTTTGAAGAACGCAACATAAGAAAGACAAATTAGTAATTAAAAATACTTTTGGTTCCTTGTTCTAACAAAACGTTACTTTATTACCTAATAAAACGTAAAGTTAGAATGAATCGGTGTATTAACTGCGTTATTTATTAAGAAAATGGCTGTAAAGTTTAGTTAAGTTCTGTTTCGTTGCACTGATCTCTGCTTCCGCGCCCTATCCCCGATCTGATGTTTTATTGTATTAAAACCCTGTGTGAAACGAAACGTCATTTTTCATTATTGCTTTTTAAATATTCCTAATGAACGAAATTTTAGCTAAATTGTATACAGAATATATGCTAAAACAATTCTTTAGGTATAAAATTTATAGTAGTTAAAAAAGGTTGATTAATGGGTTCGTGTAGTTTCTGCGTCTACATTTAAATGTTCTTTTCTATGCTGATTTTTAAAATTATAGAGTTCGCTACATTGATGACGGTTTGAGCTCGTATCAGAGATTTACCAATTGATTTTACGTAAAATTTTCTTCAAATAACGTTTCATTCCACGCAGCGGTCCTTTCAGGAGATGTGTGTATGAAACGTTGTACAGACTTTAGTTAAGTGAATGTGATCGACTGTGCAACTATACTGGCATGTCGGGCAGTGAGCAGGCGTTTTATTAAATTAGTTTGTATTAATTTTATTATAGAACAATCGCCACGTATGGTTGGACAGCTCGACGATTATCGTGTACCAAATAATATAGAAAATTATAGAAAAATAATTATATTGTTTTACTGTTCCAGTACTTTATCCCAAAGTAAAGTAGGTATCACATTTATTAATTTTACACACACAACTCAGTCTACGTCTACAAGTTATTTTGAATATTCACGGAGTGGGTACATGGTCACATAAAAATTGGATTCGACAGACGACTGATGCGATAGAATATGATGTAGTGAACTGATGACGAGACCACTTCATTTCTACCTCGCAGGTCCACCGGAGGAGCCAGGACTTACCTGGTGGAGGCGCCCAGCATTGAATTTTTAATGACACGTATTTGGTGCTTATGTAATGCCTACACTTTTTAACCGACTCCAAGAAAGGAGGAGGTTCTCAATTTGACTGTATTTTTTTGTATTTATGTACCTCCGGCATTGCAGGTTTACCTATATTCATTCATGTAAAATAGTTTTGTTTATGTATATTCTGATTTGTAATCTGTTGCTGTACCTTATCCAATAAAATAAAACAAATTTGACCGATCGCTGACTGCCTCCGTTGCCGAACGGTTTGCCGACTGCCACGCAGAGCGCCCGGGTTCGATTCCCGGACCAGGAGAACTATTTGTATGGCCTACATTTATTTCTCGTGAGTATTGAGTGTAATTTGTAGTTGTCTATGTGTGTGTCCATAGTGCCCGCGATACAGGGTGTCCCAGTGAGGCGCTATGAGCACATGAGTGTATGGGTTATCACTTATTGTTTTAAGAAAAAAGAATGAAAGTCAAAATATGCAAGCGAATTCCTAAACCCATATAAGTACCATCTTACGTTATTTGTAAAGACCGTTGACAAACATTATACTTAGGAAATGAAACTATTTTTCCGGATTTAAATCGCGTATATTTGTTTTTTCAAACAAACCGACGACGTTTCGGGCCCTTTATAGGTCCCATGACCATAGCGATTTAAATCCGGAAAAATAGTTTCATTTCCTATGAGTAACAATCCCGAAAACCTAAGAACTCGATAAACATTCTACTGTTGAATTGCGGAATTGCGAATAAGAACCGTATTTCAAACACACTTACCTACTTTTTACCTTTACCTACGTTAATATTGTAAGCACGGTAGAAATATTGTCATTGAGGTGAAGTCGTTTAACAACCGAAACTAGTGTCGAATTCATCAAACATACTTGATGTGTCTGTAACCTTTCCAATTTGATTGAGTGCATCATGATACTCTAGTAAGGAAACTTCACCATTATGGTGCGTCGTGCCGTGACATTTTCCTTAAATCGTATTTGATTGATAGTGTCCAGACATCATCATGCGAGGCCATAGGCAGTTGACAAACTGGGCCTCGTATGTATATGTAGGAATGGGCTCAGACATTTTAAAGTAATAGCAAAACCTCTTTTATTTTTTTCAGATAAATCGTATAGTAATTAAACATGCGCACCGGTCCACGCTAGCCTAACAAATGATCCTCCTAAACAAGCTACCCACGACGTTTATTGGCGTTGCAGAACAGGTGAGTTCCGAGGACGGACGGGTGGCGTGATGCGCTCGGACCGCTGCACGTGTTGTTTACACTTTGCTTCGATATGACATATTTTCACTTTTAGCACGCCACGACGACGCCGCTGTCATATACAATATACTATAATAACACACGCTTCTATAATAAGGTTACGGTTGAAATTCTTTTGAAAAATTTAACAATGTATACAATCAAAAGGAAAGGCGTATCTATTATTACGCACTTACATAAAATTTTGACCCTTTTTATCTCACAACACTTTGGTTTAATCTACCTACAACCTAATCAGGACATTAATTATAATAATTATTCTGTCGTCGTGACGATAACAGTATTATAAACTAACGTTTCTTGTTACATATATAAATGTGGAGTTCTGTAATTGGCCATGGTTTGGTTTCTAGATTTTAAGCTCTGATTTATTGTAAGCTGCCGATTTCTCAAATAAAGCGAATGAAATAAGTAATCTTTGCAATCTTTTATTATCAACAGCGTGTTAGCACGTTCGCATGGCGTCAGTTTTACAAGTACGTAGGTAGGAAGTCTTCAGCATAATCTGAAATGTCAGATAATCTTAAATGTGAAACATCTAGCGGTTAGTTTAGCGAACATGTCTAAAACACAAGGATTTACGCCATTTGCTAAACAAGTGCGTTCTTATTTTCGTTAGATTTCGTTTAGCAATTTTTTTACATTTTGTTTTACCATCGATTTTAAAAAAATGTGTCATTGGAGGCTGCCGATCGCGTCTGCACATCTACGTGTTTTTCGATTCTAACCAAAGTTATGTTTGAATAGCCAAAGTTTCAAATTTTTGACGCTCTTTCAAAGTGAAATTTAGAACGAAATCGGAAGTCGATACCTATTAGAAGTTTCTTCCAGATATTTTGCCAGCGCTACAGACTACCAGGCAACTATGGCAATCGCAACAAAAAACACAAAACATAATAAAATCAAGTACAACAAAAAGCTTTCGTAATTTGTGTACTAAGTAAATTGTTTATTTTAACTTTCCAGTGTTTTGTGTCCGGCGCGGTGTGCATCAATGTGCTTGGGTATAGTTGCATGGTGGGCTTCCCTGCCGTGTTACTACCACAGCTGAGGGAGCCAGGGTCCCTCATTCCGCTTACCAGGGACCAAGAGTCATGGATCAGTGAGTTGTCAACTTTACTACCCAGTGACGTAGCCAGTTCTAAATGGGCCTTGAATAAAAATTTGTTTGGGGGATTCTTTTCATCACCAGACTGGGGCGAAGCCTACGAGGAGGGCATTTTAAAGAAATTATACGAGTATAATCTTAAAAACAATGATCCCGGGATCCAAGTAAGTCAAACAAACGCCTTTCTTGCCTTTCTTTCTGCAATCCTATTAATTAATAGCTGAATGCAAATTTAATAGTATTTAAGTAAGTATTTAAATAGCAATAAATGGTTTTTCAAGATTTTCCGTCTCGCAAATGATTAAATTGTTCTACTTGCCATAAACTAAAAACTATAATTATTCTCATTATACTCGTCGGGGTCAGCGTAGGACGCGAGACACGTATCATTGTTATTTATTTATTAAACTTTAGTTGAAGTCAAATTATCATTTACTCCAAGTAAAATTTTTACACTTGAAAACGTCATGTTTTAAGCTGCTGTTCGTTCACTGTGCTGGCCTCTCTGAGAAAAACGAGCAACACACTCTAGGGATTGCTCTTTTCAAATAAACTTAAATGCTATGGAATACATTTTGAATTATAATTGTGTGGAATCTAGATTCGTGTTGTCTTTCGATACATCTTTATCGAAAACATACTCTTCAATTTGTAATATGACTATTTAATTAAAATACTTTTGATGTAAGTTTTAAACTTAGGAAATGGTAATCTTAATATATGCTCCGGAATTTTATTATAAAATCGTTTACCTTAGTTAAAAGAAATCGTGGTACCATGACTTTAGACTTAGTTATGGTTATATTATGGATATCTTCTTTCTTAACGAAATTATTAATATGTTTTATTGACCACAACACATAATGATACAAAAGGCGGACTTAATGTTAAAAGCATTGTCTGCCAGTCAACCTTTGACAAAACGAAATTCACGAACGCGGCAAATTAAACATAATCTTAAATTAATAATGCAATAATAACATATAGGAAATGAAACTATTTTTCCGGATTTAAACTTCGGACTTTAAGTCCGTTATCTACCCAGGATGCTGCAAGAGGCCATTGAAATTAAAAAACATCCTAATTTCAGCAGGGAAGATGGTTACTCCGTACCACCAGTTTGGGATCCAGTATTTCCTCTAATGAAAAATCCCAAGCAGACATAAGATTGCAGTACTAATTAATATGTTTTAGTTTATTCTAATTTCTATTAATAATTAATAATAAATTTAACTTAATGAAAATTCATTCAATAAAATATTTGTAAAACGTAATGTAGCGTAAATTGGAATGTTTTTTTGTAAAATAAAAAATAAGGTATTTAATAGATAACTTTTGTAACTATAGTGAAAAAATAGGGTGGTTTGCAATAATATTAGACATAACTGGTTGAAGACTGTGCCACCTCAGTCAACCGTGTCCATGGGACCTGTAAAGGGCCCGAAACAGTTTCTTTGAAAAAACAAATATACGCGATTTAAATCCGGAAAAATAGTTTCATTTCCTATGTGTAAAAATCGCGAAAACCTAGGAACATAATAATAACAAATTTATTGTTACTGTTGATACGGCGGTAGCTGCACCCCTGTTACTACTTTCTAGTTTAAAACGTGATATTTGGTGTTTTTTATAAGCCGCAAAGAATGGCCTTTGTCCACTTTGGTCTTTTGCACTTTGGGAGAAATCTGTTTTCGGAAAAAATATTATTTATTCATGCACGCCATAACTCACGTAACAAAACCAGAAAAATATCTGTTTTAAATAAGGTACTCAATGCGAAGGCGCACGCAGGATAATTACTGGATTCTTTACTTTTAGAATTGGGTGTCACATTTAAATATTATTACTAATAAGATGTTTATAGCTTTGAATAACAGTTTCAACAACATTTTGGTTATCTCAACAGCGACTAATTAAAATGGCGTAATTGAACCTTTCTCTTCTTTTTCAATATAACCAATGTAAATACCTAAACCATTTGATCTAAGCCCGTCTAAAGAATGTGCTAATTTGTTACACGGTAGGATGTAATTTACTCGATCATAAAAAATCCTGAAAACATGCTAAAATAAAAATAAAACAAAATATCTAACTTTGCACATAATTTTTATATGGAGATATTTCTCTTTAGGTACCTACTAAGGAGAATCTGCTAAATTTTGGTTTTTATTGAAGCCCGCCCTGTAGTTATTAAATTCACATTTATCCCAAAATTTGAAAATTGCCCGGTGGTATAACGACACACCGGACTGCTGCCCCGTCAGTTGCCATCGGGCGCTTGTCGATGTGCAAAATTTTCTCCGCCTGCCTTTGTTTTATTCATATCAATTGTCAACGCGCGGGTTGTGAGACGCGAGTGGCGGTCCTCCATACCTTACCTTCTAAAATCTAGGCTAGCCTTAATTATACTTGACATTTTTATTGAGTTGTATATTTAAGGTATGTTTTTATATCTACTGCAGCATCTCTCGTTGGTTTCGCGATGTTAGCCGGCAACTTCATAACCCCTGGAATTATGGATCAATGGGGACGCCGCCCCATGCACATCATCGTCAGCATCATCAATATCCTCGGATGGGTTATCAACGCATTGTCAACTAGTTTTCCGGTACGATCCCTTTCAGAAAAATTGAGATTACTAGCTTTAGGTGCTAATTGCTAAATAAGCATGGTCAACGGCACTAGAGTAAAAAAGGTGCTCATTGAAGAGAGTTTACGAAAATCTTCGAAGATCCAAATTGAGGTTTTTGTGTATATAGTGTATATACTCGTATAATGATTTAATATACCCTGTTGTATGAGTAAACTCGTGTCCAGAATATGATTCAGTGATCAAATATCTGTTTTTGCGGCTTCCACAGTCTTTTACTTTTACACATAGGTACGGATTCAAATTCGCTTTAACACTTTAAAAACTATTGACTTTAAAACAGCTTATTACGTATTATTATATATTCTTATTATATATTCATTCTTCAAAACTCACTTACGGAATAGTAATGTGGGGAAATTGCACCATAGTATAGGATAAGTTTGTGTATAAGAAAAAAATGTATAAGAATATTAGCTAATATCAAACAGACCGATTCGTGTAGCCATATTTCATTAATTTATTAATATAAATTATTTATATAAATTCATTAAACAATAAATGTTAACATTGACATCGATACACAATCTTGTATGCTACAAATTCGTCGAAAACCATATGCATCTATATTCCCCAATTACAACAGTAAGAAGAAACAATAGAAACTTACATAAATTAAAACTTCCCGCAACTACACTTAGTCTGTACAGATCCGGCCGACACTCAATGGTAATTCAAATTTATGATACCATACCAAAATGAAATATAAAACCAAGAAAAATGAACGATATTTATTGCCCGTCTAAAAAAGTACTTCACCAATAACGTATTTTATAAGTTAGACGACATATTGAATAAGAGGTAAGTGCCAATTGCCCAGTCCTTAAATAGATATAATAAATAAATCATATTTGATTTTATGTAATAAAAAAATTGGAATAATTATTAGTAATTTGTAGTGCTCTCCTGATTTTGCAGACTTGCAGGGTGTCACATGTGTGACTACTGTATTATATTTTTATAATATCTTTGTGAAACCATGTGGCAAGCAATAAAGATATGTATATGAACAATTTTTCAAATACCTATTTATTATTTTCAGATACTCTTCTTTGGAAGGACAGTACAAGGCATCGGTTTTGGCATGTTCATGTCACTTCGCTCAGCTCTCGTCGGCGAGTACACCAGTCCGAGCAACCGAGGATCGTTCCTGACGTTAGTATCCTTAGCTCAATGTACTGGCATCTTCTTAGTGCACCTTCTGGGAACCTTACTACATTGGCAGACAACAGCTTCAATATGTACGTTCTTTCCTTTCGCAAGTCTGGTCATGATTATGTATTCCCCCGAATCACCAAGTTTCTTAGCTGCTAAAGGGAAATATGAAGAATGTAGAATAGCTTTTCATTGGCTCAGAGGTTTTGAAGAAGAAAAAGAACTGGAAGACTTGATAGTTACCAGGGAAGAACTGGAAAAAGCACAAACGAAGACTAGTTTTAGAAAATTGCTGGCGATTGTCAAAAAGAAGGAATTTTACAAGCCGATTTTGATTATGATGCACATGAGCTTAATGATGCAAATAAGTGGAGGTCTTATATTCACAACGTATTCTACTGTTATTATTGGTTTGGTATTAGGACCGACAGTCAATGCTTATTTTTGGATGGTTTTTCTTGATGGTCAAAGAACTTTATTGAATGCCATTGTCGTATTTGTAATGGACAGGTTTAAACGAAGAACGATGCTTTTTGGTATCGGCTGTATTTCTGTTCTTAGTCATATTTTTATCGCTGTTTATGTATATTTAAGAGACAACAGTATTATTGAAGATTATCAATGGATACCAATCGTGCTTGTCAATCTACAGTTCTTTGCAATGGCTTTTGGGATGATACCTTTACCTAGTGTGATAGCTGGTGAGATTTTTCCCTTGCAATACAGAGGTTTTGGGGGAAGCATAAACATTTTTACTTTATCATTGTTGTCGTTTGCTGTTTTGAAGAGTTTTCCTTTTTTGGTTGATAGTTTTGGAATTCATGGAATGTATGTATTATATGGGTCTTTATTGATGTATTCCTTGGTCGCGAATTGGTTTTTATTGCCCGAGACGAAGGGAAAAACGCTTTTGGAGATCGAAGTTGAGTTGAGAGGAAGAAAACTGACACCTGACGAGGCAGAGGAGACCAAATCATTGCAGCAGAACTTAAGAAAGTTGTCGACATGGTCGTCGCGTAGTATGACTGTAGAATTGTGATTAATTGGTTATTTACTTTTTAACGAGGAGCTAAAAAAGGTGGGTCCGTTCGTTATGCTCTGGTATCATTTGTCTCCGTTTTGTTTGCACCCGATTCAGGGGGTCTACTCGCGATTTCTGTCCGACATCCGTCCGAAACAATTACTATCAAATGAGTAATATACGACAAAATTAAAAGACAAGTATCAAGAATGTAGCTTCATTCGCATCACGCGTCTTTTCATTTGGTCAAGTATTGCTTATTTGGCAGTAATTGTTTCGGACGGATGTCGGACGGAAATCGAGAGTAGACCCCCAGGTTACTAAAATAATGAAATTTTAATAGGTATGTAATATTATGAGCCTCTATGAAAATAATTTGAAATAACACGAACTTAGTAAGAAAAAGGTTTGTTACACTTGATGAAATAAGTACAAGTCACAATTATTTTAATGATTTATTCATCATTTTGTAGCATTAATTACCTTAAGTATATGTATGGAGAAATATTTGTATGGCCTACATTTATTTCTCTTGTGAGTTTGGGTGTAATTTGTGGTTGTCTATGTGTGTGTCCATGGCATCTGCGAAACAGGCTTTCTCTAGTGCGTGGCTATATTTAGTGTGCGTTAGTATTGAAAGAGTTAGTATAACTTGAAATAACTAAAAAAAATAAAATATACAATGAAAAGTGCAAACTAGTCTTCGTTGCGGCCGTGCTGTGCTCATTTTGGCAACTAATGAATATTTATTAGTAACTGCCTCCGTGGCCGAACGGTTACCATACCGGACTGCCACGCAGAGGTCCCCGGGTTCGATTCCCGGGCCGGGAGAAATATTTGTATGGCCTACATTTATTTATCTCGTGAGTTTGGGTGTAATTTGTGGTTGTCTATGTGTGTGTCCATGGCACCCGCGACACAAGGTTTCCCTAGTGCGGGGCTATGTTGAGTGTGTGCGTTATTATTATTATTATTATTATTATATTTATTTGAAACTCTACTATTTAAACTTTATTATTATTATTATTATTATTAATTCGCATTTTACTGTACGTTTCTTTTATCGTTTTACCAATACGAGCTTTTTAACAACCAATAATTATTATAATGAAGACACAATTTCATCATACTTTAATAATATCTATATTATCATATCATACATAAATTAACAAGTTCTTAAACATTTTAGTTGTCAACAGTACTTATTGCAAATGAACTCGTATCTGACAGAAGAATAGTGATATAGAATTTATTTGAATCAGGAGCAAACGAAACGAGTGCAAAAGAAACAGGCGCATAACGAACGGACCCAAAATCTTATTAGTTCGACGATTTTAACTTAATAACGCTCTCATGACTTAACATACATATTCAGATAATTTTGGTTCTGAATAGCGAATGTCGCTTTTTATAATATTAAACTATCTCGGCAAAGGAAGCCATAATCTGAGATATGTCTTCGCATTCCTCATACGGCGTGGGCTATCATGGAAAACTGTGTTCTGATATCTCCTCATTGGAGATATGTATCTAAGTGGAGCCAGCAGGCACTGAATTGTCATATAACTACATACTAGTAAATTATGAAATCATATTGTTTTATCAGTTTTGAATATAAATGTTTGTGATAATACGATGTTGTAAGGATGAGTACCTTTTCCATAATCTACATAAGATTAGAACCACTCTTGGTTTTTTTATCAATAGCACTTGAAGAGTGTTGCAGTAATAAATGTGATTTTACTTTATTTTTTTAAGTAGGTCGTATATATAAATACGTATATTTATGTTGTCCCTGAAATATGTGTGAATAAAACTATAATTAAGAAACAAACAAAAATTTTATTTCCTTCTTCAGTTATTACAAAACATTCAGTAAATTATATTTAAACAAATACTACCTACTGAGTGTTTTAGGTCATCATTTTTGTTGTTGCAATAATTTACACAGATCCCTGCATTACTAAATTAGACATAGAACTTCATTGTTTCATTACAAGTATTATCGTCAGTAAGAAGAAGTCCATTACTGAACAAAAGCCTGCTTTATAGCACTCTACAGAATATAAAGCTAGGCTTAAATGCCTGGTCCCCATTATCACATTTTCACAATGCCATTTAATTGATTATTCTACATTTTATCCTTCAAGTTTGAGACTTCATTTTCCTGTAAAGCATTAGTAGCTTCAATATCATGCTCTGTCAATTTCTTGCCTCTAAACTCATCTTCTATTTGCTGTAAAGTCTTTCCCTTTGTCTCTGGCAATAGGAACCAAATCACAGTTAAAAAGTACGTCAGAGCTCCTGCGTAAATACAATAGGTGCCCGATAGTCCAACACTATCAACTAGACCAGGGAAAGACTTAAGTACCGTGAAAGTAACAGTTGCTATTGATACAATACTAATGCTACCACCTACGCTTCTATATTGTAACGGAAATACCTCACCAGCTATGACACTAGGTAAGGGAACCATGCCAGTAGCAACTGTGAAAATTTGTAAATTAATTAAAATCACAGGTACCCACATACTTTCAAATGGTAACATATTATTAGTTTTGCCATATACATAACCTGCTATCATCAAATGAGTAACTACACTTAGGCTTCCTATACTGAAAAGACAAACCCGTCTTTTACTTCTATTTATAATATAAACGGCTATGGTATTTGATATGATTCTTTGTATATCTAAAGCTATCATCCAAAAGTTAACGTTAGCTGACGGTCCTAATACTAAACCTATGATAACTGTAGAATATGACGCCATTGTAGTTCCTCCAGCAAATTCTACCATGGCGTACGCATGGACCATTATAAGAATGGGTTTGTAAAACTCTTTCTTCGTAACAGTAACAAGCATTACTTTCAATTTATTGGTTTTAACTTCAGATTTCTTAAGCACACGTCTTGCTTCTATCATTTCTTCCAGTTCTTCTTCTTCTTCGTTACCTCTTAGCCATCTAAAAACTTTCCTGCAATCATCATATCTACCTCTTGCAGCTAAATAGCTTGGTGATTCTGGGGAATATATGGTGAGGCATAAACTTATGAAGGAAAATGATATGCAGACTAGAGCAGTTTTCTGCCAGCTGATCAAAGAACCGACGAAATGCGCGAAGAAGATGCCAAAAGATTGAGCTAAAGAAATTGCCATAAGGAAAGCTCCTCTGTTTTTTGGGCTGGTGTATTCTCCGACAAGGACTGAGCGTAGGGGTAGAGAAATCCCAAAGGAGAGACCATGTAAAACTCTGCCGATGAAAAGCATCTGGAAAAGAAACGGAAGGACAGGTCAATAAAGGTACCTAATTGATGAGTTCAATGATTGATATTGAGCGAAAAACCAAGTACTACTTAAGTTATAGATTGCTATATCAATTTGTTGAATATACAGGTATTGAGAAACTGCAAGATAAAGCATATATTTGGTTTACATCAATTTACCTCACATCCATGGTTAAAGCCCGGAGCTGATATGAACCAAAACATATATAAAAACTTTAACATTTATTGTAGCATAATGAAATCAGATTCACCTGGAAGTTATCAGCTATGATGATGATAATCCATCCCAGCAGTACAGGCGCGATGCCGACGTAGCTAGCGACCTTGCGGCCGCGACGGTCCATCACTGACGGGGCAACGAAATTGCCCACCAGCATGGGCATCGCCATTGCTGACGCTGGAACCGGGATAATAAAAAAAGACGAGCAATATAATTGTTGCTTATATTCTCTCGAATAGAGACTCATAGGAATATCATGGTCAAGGACGTTGCCTGTTGACATATACATATACATTTGTAAATGTCTAATGGCAAAGAAAATATTGCGATGAAATCTGTATGTCGCAGGTTTGCCACCGTTGGAAAATTGAGTTCCGTAGCTCGCAGTGGGTTAATGACCTCGCAAATGTCATGGAGAGTGTTGAAGTCGCGTAGTGTTGCACTAAGTAACTAACTGTGCTAACCGATCCAAGAGGCGCTGCTCTTATCCAGAGGCAGCTGTGCCCCTGGTTTTTGTAGCTGAGGCAGCAACACTGCTGGATAGCCTAGGGCGCAGCCATGGCCGATCACGTTGCAACATACCGCTGTCGTCACGAAACACTGAAAGATGTTTTTAAAATATTAAAATTATTTATAGAACAAAATAATCATACGGTATAAATTGCGTGCATAAACATTACCTCCTTTAGACTGTAGCCAGATAATTAAATAGATACTTAGCTTACGTACCTAGGTATTTATTTATCTACCTAACAAATTTTTTGATATAACCTTCTACGCTAAGGCCGTCGGGAAGACTTTGTTACACACTTAACAATAGGGCCGCTTATTGTATACTTTCTTTTTGGCTGTTTTAGGGAATGTCTTTTTGTGTATAAATATTTAATTTATATTGAGTGTAATAATACATTTTTTTCAAGGACTAAGCTGCGAGGTACTTACTAATTGGTTTTTATCTGCAAGGCACTCACCTGTTTCATAAAAGGCGTGAATCGTGTTCTCTCCTCCATAGTGGTTTCTCAACTGCAGATCGCGAAGATAAGGCTCTAGCGGCGTAGGTTTCGTCGGCGTCGATGCAAACACGTCACCTGCATTGCGCCCTCTTATCCATGCTGATAACGTTACAACAAATTGTAACGTATTACTTATTGTAAATATATAATTCAGCGGGGTAACTAATAGATTTATTGGAAGAATGTTTGCAGGAGGTCCGGGTTGTATGTAATTCAGTTTACTAATTATCATACGGTCGAGGAAGAAATCTATATAACATATCAAAGGTAGTTTATAAACCTCTCCATCATAACGCGAAATAAACAACTTCGAAATTAAAGGAGGGGAGAATTACGAAGTAAACATTACAATTATAATATAATAACATATAAAAAAGTTAGTGTGCAGTAGAGTAGGACGAGTGATGTAGTGTGTATGTGAAGATCTGTGTTGTCACGGACTTCGAGTTGAAAATTACATTTCGTTACCAGCGCCTCCACCACGAGTTCACCGTGGCAGTTGTCGCTAGCGATGGCGTCAATTACTTCACAATTTGTGTGGCAAATTATGTAGCCGCCCCTAGCGGTCACAAGAGAAACAACACTTTGTATATAAACATTTTACGCGGTCGCTAGCGATAACTGTTGCTGCAATCTCTTGATAGAGCCACAGAAAAGTTAAATTTTTGCTGCATACGTTACATTTTAAATGTTTTACTAGTTTTTTTTTAATTAACCTAATGTGTTCCACTGCTGGGCAATAGCACTTGACTTCCACAGTTCCCTGTTTGACGCAATGTTAGGCCAATCCTTTACATTATGCGTTTAAGTCGTCCTGCCATCTCCTCCTTGGTCTACCTCGTCGTCACTGGCCGTTCTCCGGCACCCACCAGGTGGCTGTGTGAGCCCATCTCTGTGGGTGCATACGACAAACTTGTCCAACCCAGTACTATTTCAACCTGGCAGTCCTTTTCCTAACATCGATTATGCGTGTCTTCGACCGCAAAAGTATTAATTTTTTAAATCTGCGACTCTCTATGTATTTGTTAATTGTTTTGACATGCGTTTCTCTTTTTGTTAAATTAAAATTTGTTTTTAGATTATATTATGCAATAAAAAAATTCTAATTATACAATGTAATATGACTTTAAGAATAAATGCGAACATTGTATACAATAAAAATTTATTACAATGTTTGTATACCAATTGCTGGTGCAACATTAAGAATAATCTTAAACACGTAAACTGTATTTGCCGTGTATGTTTAGAAATAAATATATCTCCATCACATTCTCTCTCTAATAAAAATTGTAACTGTAAAAGATATACGCTTAAATCCTAAAAAATTACATACTTATATTTTAAGGAAGAATAAAGGTGCAGGACTAGAACGCAGCAAGGTTGTTGGCGAGACAGCGGCTGAATTATCAGCGGATAGAAAGTCTGTGGTTTGCGCGGGACCTAATTCCTTTCTTTAAGACACCTATACTCAGAAGTGGGACATATGTAACATTGACCTATGGGACTTTAGATTCTAATTACAAGTATCTCCTAAGTAATAAAGGCAGAACACGAAGTTGCACAAGTGAAATGCGCAGTCCACATTACGACGATGACGAAGGGCATTGGCCTAAAGACCTCTCCCTGTAAAGACACCCGCGCTCAGTACAAACACTACTAGGTAGAAGCAAGAAAATGTAACTGCATTTTTGATCATTCTCCAATATTATCTTTTATTTTCCCACAAACACGCCGAGAAGAAAGACGCCAGAAGTAATAAATGTACTTTATTGCCCATTTCGCTTACTACTCGTTTGACACTTCATAAAATTTAATTCCGTGTGTTTTTGCTCAGTGTAAAGTTAAAAACAACACGTGTATGATTTTTCTAGTTTGTTAATTTTATTATTACATATTGGTGAAGTAGTACAAGGATTTTTAGACTTTCTAGAACAATTCTCAGAAATGCGAGAAGAAAAACAATGAGATTTTATTAAACCTCCGTATAAAACAAGATTCTTTTCAAAGATGATGGTATAGTCCAGTGGGAAAACGGATGTCTTTCAATCGAAAGTTTCAATATATCTGAGTGCGGTAAAACATCTTGCATTACGAAGAAGGTTCACAAGTTTTGGAAAAGGTGTAAATTCCCAACCCTTTGAGGCATCGTGGTGGGGTGTGGCTTAAACCCTCTTCTTAGAAGGAGACTTGTGCCCAACAGTCTAACGTATAATGGTTTTTTGTGATACCAAGTGACAGGACGAACAAGTCGTGAGCCTAGTGGTGAGCGACACGCCTGTCCATAACAGTTGCAGTGCCATTCAGAGCTTTAAATCACAAAGATCTGAGGGGCACTGCCACTGCGCCCGGTACCCTGAGACATAAGTTGACAAGTCCCTTGTCTTCAAAATCGGAACACAGTACTTAATGCTCACACTGTCCTGTTTGGCGGTAGAAATAGGTAAAATGGTCGTACCTACTTCGTTAGACTACTATTTTACAAGGAGCTCTACTGCTATAAATGTTAATTTTTTCTTATATTCTTTATTTGCAGGCTGGATCATAGATTTTTAGGGCTGGATTAATATTTAAAGATATATCCAACGGTGCCCTCCACCCTTCTCGATATGCAGATCTCATTAAAGAACCAGGCCTAGCAGTGGGACGATTAAAAGTAAAATTATAATATTGGAGTAATCGTACGTCGTATAAAGTAACCAAGCTATGGAATTCGAAATATGGGAATCAATGCCGGTTTTCCCGTTTACACCTTCACTGCAATGATGCAGCAGTTTTCCAGTCTAGTATTATTTTGTTGGCGCATCATTAGAATACTAAATTATTACTTTACTTATTGCGCGCAATTTACAAGTCAAAATCGATCTTCTCAGATTTTACATTCGCGTGCAATGAATTCGGGTCGTTTACAAAATTTGATTTCTCTTAAGGATATTTGCAGCTGAAATACTTAAATTTCAGTATTTTGTAGAGATTTTAATAGTGCATTATAAAAACTAAAACTATTGAAGGTTAAAAAAATACAAGTAAATATTTGTAACTTTTTCAATGAAAAAAAAAACGCGACCTCAAAAGTTTGCTTATCGGCTTCTTTCGATTTCCATGGGATCCCCTCATCAGATTCTGACTTCTTAGGGAGAATGGGATTGTTACGGGCTCCTTTGGTTGTCATGGTGACGGTGCTTTGTTGACCTTGACACAATACATGTATTGTGTCAAGTGAAATGTCGACTTTTATTTGCAGAATACAATTTTTAAATTTGTGAAACGAACCCGGAACAGCATCTTTGGCGTCAGGGACCACCTCGAGAGTATACACTTTCGAACTGTCTTTTTGTTTTTTTTCAAAATCGGTCCACAACTGAAGCAGAAATTGGTAAATATACTGACATGCCTATAAAATTTGAGGATTTTCCTCGATTTCTATGGATCCCGTCATCAGATTCTGATTTGGTGACGATGGGATCACCACGAGAGTGCACCCTTTCAAACAAAAAAAAAAATTTTTCAAAATCGGTTCACAATTGACGGAGAAATCGGAAATCATACATAAAACATACTTACTGCCGGGCGTATAAATTCTTCCCTTTTTTTTGAAGTCGGTTAAAAATTACTTTAGGAGTTGGAAGATAAGACAAGGGAAAAAAGGCGAAACAGGATAAAATTCTGATTTTTTTTCTTTCGAGGTCATAAGTTTTACGATTGCCACACTTAGAAAATGAATGCATGTTTTCGGATTTAATTTGCGTATATTTGTGTTTCAAATAAACCAACGTTTTTACGGCTGACCGAGATGCTAATGGTAATTCAAAAGACGTCTATTAAGACTGCAAACTACCTTATTTGGAACCACATTAGTAGGTTACATAAACATTACACTGTTTGACGATTTGATGGAGAATGGCAAGTGTAAATTTTCGTAATAATGTTATAAATTCCATTTAATTAAAAAAAGGTGAAACCTAATTTTTTTTGGTGCAATTTGCTGTGAAATATTTCGGCGCATGCCCGATTTGATTGCCTGTGAGCATATCAGATGTTTAAAAATATTTACACTACTTTTTACGGCTGATATTTTAAACAGGAACTCGGCATCATAACAGTATGTTTTTGTTTCGTATAAAAAAGTCTCAATAAAGAATTCAGAACAGGATGCTTTATTACACGCACTTCCCGATTTCGATTTATTTTCAATTACGACGAAGGTCGTCGCAATGACGCCGTGTCGATAAATCGTAGTGACGACGGATCGTGACAATTATTACAGTTCAACCGTCGTCACTGGAGAGTATTATGTCGTAAAAAAACGGACCCTTAGGACAATAAATTAGGACGGGCGAAGCATATTTTTAATCGTATAGTGTGTAGGTGGATTAGGAATTATAATTTAAAAATAAAAAACGCATCTGGTCGTCTGGTTTTAACTTTTTGTAATTAGGCATTATTTTTGATTTACCAAATACAGGGATACGGTGTGCACTCAGCCTTGCAGTAGCAGTGGAGATCCTTGTGAAAGGGTTCGTCCAGGGAAGTACTGCCACCTTATCTATTTCTGCCGCCAAGCAGTAATGTCAGCATTACTGTGTTCCGGTTTTGAAGGGTAAGGGTGCTGGTGAAATTACAGGCACATGGGACTTGTCAACTTATGTCTGAGGGCGTAGTGGCAGTGCCTCTCAGATCTTTGCGATTTAAAGCTCTGTATGGCACTGCAACTGTTATGGACAGGCGTGTCATTTACCAGCAGGTCCACGATTTCCTAGTCCCATCACTTGGTATCATAATCTATTTATTATAACTGCCTCCGTGGCCGAACGGTTACCATGCTGGACTGCCACGCAGAGGTCCCAGGTTCGATATCCGGGCCGGGAGAAATATTTGTATGGCCTACATTTATTTCTCTCGTGAGTTTGGGTGTAATTTGTGGTTGGCTATGTGTGTGTCCATGGCACCCGCGACACAGGGTTTCCCTTGTGCGGGGCTATGTTAAGTGTGTGCTTTATTATTATTATTATTTTGGCAACAATCGACGAGTACCTCCCTTTCA